GAGGACCTTGTCTGTTGGGGTGCTTGACGGGACGATCACGACCTCGTAAGCCTCCAGCAGCGAGGGCCATCTGGTGAAAGCCATCTGGCAGACCTCGACAGCCCGCTTATAGGATATCAGACGGCCTGAGACATGCACCAGCTCAGCCCAAGGCAAATATTGGTCGCCGCCGCCGTTCTGCTCTTCCCTGGTGACATGTGCTTGTACAAGGCGAAAGTCATCCGAGTGGTACGTTTCATAGACCGATGTGACGAGTTTTCGGGTTGCCAAGGCGTTCACTGACCAGAACTGTCAGTATTTGAGCCGATACAAAGGAATGCCTCAATGACAATAAGGTACCTTCTCCTCGGTTTGGAGACGATCCCAACGCTCTCTCTGTCTCACTGAGGAGGCTCTCCAGTCGCTTCGATAGAAGCTCCCCTAACGACAGCCATCAGCAAAGCGCTGCAACGGAATGCAACAGTGTCTGTACAACTCACCCTTGGCAATCTCATGAGTGGTACAAGCTTCGATACATGCTTTCAGATGCCCGTGGTACGATTTCAGATAAGCTTTCACGCGAATCGCATTGAAAGCCAAGACGTGAGAGAGAATGGCATCCTTGCGAGTGGCAAATGGGGACTCTTGACGGAATAGTTGAAGGACATCCTCTATGCCCTTCTTCAACTGCCGCAGACTCAGATCTAGGCAGGAAACCTGATTGAAGGCAAAGACATATTCGAGTGTGTCGTCAACACGGCGAAGGATAGTGCAGGCAGATACAGCATTCGAGCCATACTCGGTACAGCACAGAAATGCGAGTTTGTCTTTGAAGTTGTGGAGAAGCTCGGTGCCATGGAGGGGAGTGTCGAGCAGGTGGTCCACGCGTCGCTGGGGTCTGAACTTGAAGATGCGAAGCAAGGAGATGAGCAATACCACGGTTGGATAGAACTGTCTCTTGATAGCCCATGACAGTTCGATAGAAGGACGAGTGTCTAAAATTTGGTCTCACGGTCTGTCAGCGTGGTCTTGCAAACGGGACCGGAAAGGGCAGGTGCATGGGGCGCCAGTCCAGAACACACCTTCCATTTTGTGGTAGTGTTTCGTATCAGGCTGCTGTTCAGTTGGTAGGAGTACTCTCAAGCAATGCCGGAAGAAGGGCAAGCTCATTGTCCCGACTTTATAGAAAGATGACCACCATAGAAATTGGTTGATGAACTCCTGTATCTGTGGTTGTTGGGCAGCCTGCCGTCACAAGGCATACCCAGAGGCTCGAACTGCCCCATCGAAGCGATGGAAGGCGGCGAGCCCAAATGCAACTTGCACGAAAAGTTGCCGTCGTGTTTGCAATGAGGACCTCGCCTTTGCATCCTCGAACCTTTGCAAATGCAAGCCATATCTGCCTAACTGCCTTAGCGGGCGCCTTGCGGTTACTGCGTATCGAATTAACGGACAAGGCAGCCCACCCCCACCAAGCCAACATGCCCTCCAGGACCATGGGTCAATGCAGCTTGCCTTGAATCCTCAAAAGTAGCCTTGCGGGCCTCCAACATGGCGGTGTGTTTTACGTGCGTTGGTGGCACACGGGCAGTCTAGATCCCACAAGTCCTCAATCTGAAATATGACGAAAGGCGACGCAGCTTGCGTTTACCTGTCAACAACTAGCAGACTCAACATTGAGCAGAGAATAATGATCTGACACCGGCGTGAAATATATTAACTCACTACATTCAATGAGCCATTCGACCCGACGCATATCTGCTTGGGGCGACATCCACGTTGGCTCATCACTTGAACATCCCTCCGTACGGGCCAATCCGCTACTACGTCCTCAGTAAGACAATACAAATCAATTTCCCCTTCAATGCTCCTTAATGGTACGCGCTAACCGTGCAGAGGCCACTTGCCACACAATGGACGACATCAACACCTTTGGCCATGTGGCCTATGGGATAGCGTACAGTCCCATGCTTCTGCAACCCAGTGACGGCAACCCGTACACCCACGATTATAATCCCGGCACATTAGTGTCTGCGCGCGAGGATGACACTGGTTATGGACACCAGGCTCGAGATCTTTAGGTCAACAGTTTCCCGGCAGTGGAATGTCCCCGTCTCTATAACCCTTCCCCCGATAGCGTCATCAGCCACACGAATCCCGGCTGGCCAGCAGAAATCTTTCCGCCGGTTGATTCCCGGAGTGAGAGTTCATCCCCAGCCACATGGCGCCAATCGGAGAACACGGGCAGCAGCTCGCCTCCGTCACTTGACCTGAGGCGTCGACATCGTCTACGGCACTTCGAGACCATCGACCTTCCGGATGAATGGCTGTATCTGGAGCAGCGATCAGATGGGCTCCATTACTGCGTCTGGGAGGATATCAACGAGGGCTTATGCAAGCACGCGAAAGGCTTTCTCCGCCCCAGTGACGTCAGGTGAGGTGTGCCGTATGTCCCTATTCAGAGCGACCAAGAGCTGACGGTGGAGGCGCGAAGGAAGCATGTGCGTACGCATATACGTCCAGTGAGATGCCCTCGAGCATTGCAAGGGTGCCAAGCACGACGAGCGGAAGCACGGGACATGGTGCGACACGTACAATGTGCCCATCCTGACCTCGGCTCCCACGAGGTCTTCATCTGCCACATTTGCCAGGAGGAGACGACGAGGAAAGACAATCTTGCTCGTCATGTTGCGGAAATGCATCATTCTGGTTCCGGAGGGGCCACAAGAGTGAAACGCAGGAAGAAGTGATTTTGGTCTGCTCGAGGAGCCCTGTACTTCCGTGTCGTTGCTCATCATATCGATCTCGTCATTTCAATTGACTCGTGGTTTCTCTGGATAGGTCGGCTACTCGGCTTGTCCGTACGTACTGGAGCATTAGTACCTCTTATAAGTCTCATTGACGGACGATGAATGACCCGCAGGAGACTGCTTGTACTCCATCTCCCGACAACTCCTTTTTCATCCAGGAGCAAGTGACCAGAGATTAGTTGTTGTCAAGAAACAACTGAAGGCCGCACAACATCACCAAGCGGCGCGCCCGTTATCTTGTCGTGATGGTGGCTTCTTAGAACTTAAGGAGGTCAAAGCGACGCCAGCAACGTCCAGCCGAGATTGCGGGCAACGCTGGCCCACATTTCCCTGGGCAGCTGCGGACGGAGAAGAAACAATAACAATGGCCAACTCCCTCACGCATCCTCTCCCTTATCCCGTTTTGTCCTTTGCGGCTGTTTTGTCTTGCGCCGGGGTCATTTGACGGTGATCGACAGCTTGTCTCTTTCGTTTGTCCTCTGTGCTTGTATCGTTCAGGCTTGCGGTGGCAGCGACATTGCATACCAAAACAGAGGGGCCATTGCACAACAGCGGTGGACCAATGAATCCATAGCGCTTCAAGTAAGCCCCAGATGAGCCAACAACCCGGGTTCGTACTGCCCACGAGCCAGGGATCGACACAGCCGTTGAACCGATCCCGCGAACATTCGGACGCATCGCTCTATCAACCACAGCCATTGCGTCAGCCAAAGCTTCGTCCGCTCTATGCATCGGAAGAACAGCCCGGGCTGGAGGTAGTGCACGCACCGACTCGAGGTGGAGGACGGGCTCAATCCATTTCTGAGAAGGCCAAGTCGATCTGGTCAGGATGGTCGGGCTACTCGCGCGATCCGTCTGAATACACCTTTTACCGGGAGCCGACGCCTACACCAGAGGAGAGCTATGAGCGGGAGAAGTGCGATGCCTCCATTCCGGCGGCCAGACGGCCGGGACGGAGCTCAACGATAGCACTGGAGACAGCAGCGTCCATTGCACCTCCGCCACGAAGACCGAAACAGGATGTGATATGTGGAATAAGGAGACGGCTCTTCACCGGTATCCTAGTCGCGTTGGTGCTGTTAATCGTCGGAATAGTGCTCGGCGTCGGCCTTGGAGTGGGCCTGGGCAAGCACGATCAGCGGGAGACAAAGGACCCGGGTCCAGTCTCGAGGTATGTCGCTCTGAACGTATCCATCAGGCTAAATTCTCCAGGTGCTGATTTGTATGTTGCTCCAGTTCTTCGGCACCGATACCGACATCCTCCACAGGTCCCTCTATCACCCCCTCCATCACTTCCGCGGCCGCTCCACACTCTTCCACCAGCACGGCTGTTCCGACAACAACACCGACAGCAAGCCCGACAACGGACTGCCCTTTTGTCAACAACACAATCTACCAAGTCCCCGGTTCCAGCATAAAGTTCCTTCGTCTTTGTGGTATCGATTACAGCGAAAACGAGGCGACAGACCTCACTCATATCCCGACCAGCAGCTTCGCCGGCTGCATGGATAATTGTGCTGGCACGTATGGCTGTATTGGCGCGTCCTGGGGTGTCTTGGCTGGAGATAGCGGCAGCGAGCACCAGTGCTGGATGAAGAGCAAGCTGAAAATCGGGCATAAAGTTGTCAATGATTGGTGTTTCGGTGTACTACAGCAATAAACATGCTGAATTTGGGAGGCGTGCTGAGAATTCGGTTTGCTTTTCTAGCGAGGGGTCTGGCGCCGAAGAAGGGACCAAGCATGTGATACCCATATGATACATAACACTCTTTAGTTTTTTTTCTTAATTATAATGTCTAGATTCCCCAAACTCCAATAATGAGACATGTGGCTGTTTTAGACGTGCGCCTGCCTTGCTTGGCTCAGTCAAGCCACTTTGAAGGGAGTTATAAGATAGAACACCACGTAACGTAGGACAGTAGATCGTCGGGTCGGAAAGGAGCATGTCACAGAGGCCCATGTTAAGCATACTCGGTTTACAAGTACGACCCAACTTCATGCGTAGGCCAGCGTTCTCAACATGTCATATCTCATGGCTATAGCGCAGAGCACAGCCGCAGTCTCCAACTCGCTGGTCTGCTTCCTGTCCGGATGCCTGCGTTCTAGCTTCTTCCTGTCGGATTCCCGGGTACTAGTGGAGCCTCTGACGCATCCCTGCTCGAACACGCCAACATTGTAAACCTATCGAGTCATGCCAACACCAACAAGGACGGCGAAGTGGCGCAATGGTAGCGTGTGGTCCTCCTACTCGCCCTCTTCATTGGAAGCAGAGGAGGTTCAGACTGAGGTTGTGGGTTCGACTCCCATCTTCGTCGATCTATCTTTTGCCTGTTACAACTGTGGATGCTGGCTGAGAATGTGTGAATAGCTTCACAGGTTCGTCTCATTTTTTGCTTGTGCAAAGTGGGCCAAAGAGGGGGAGATTACGAGGTTAGCGATATCCGATTGGATGCATGATTACTTAAGCCACCTGAGCATCGTTGCAGACTTTAAGAGGCCATTAAGGGGAATTTTATAGGAGCGAGTTTCATAGCAAAAGTCCGACGGATGAGATTCTCACCTGCGTGAACCAGCTGCAGCTTTACCAAGAGAACAAGCTTTTTCTCCGCATGCAGCGGACCGTGGTTGCCCGCCCGTTTTATGTTCCCAACACAGGTGTCGTGCATCCTGAGACTCTCCCGCTGCGTGGTGCCCTGAGCTTAACTGCCTCAACTGAGCGACAAAGTATACACTACGTATTTAGACTCCTGCGAAGCTAATGAGGGGTACGAATATTTAGCTTCCAAGGTTGGGCCGGCCAGGGTAACATAGAGGGAAAGCACGCCGGCGGAAGAGGCGGACCGTGACGCTCCGACGGCAAACCCCAGCCAGGAAATCGTTGATACCCTAATGGATCCAAACCGGCATGTTGAACAATGTAATTGGCGGGGAATTGGAAGAATCGTTTTCCATCAAAGGGGAGGCTCTTTCGTCACGCATGTGCTGTTCTGTCAACTGGGACTGGATGCAACCCCCATCTGAACCCAGTACCGCGGAACAACGGGCTCCTAGTGCCTTGCGTGGTGGAGTATAAAGTTGGCGACCGTCGTCGTGCCTCCCTTCATAGTAAGTTTGTGGAGAACAGAATAACAAAACGTTCTTTGTCCTTGGCAAGATGAAGTCCACCTTCACAAATCTGGCCGTGTTCGCCAGCGTAGTCGTTGGGCAGAAGTCTGCTTGGGAGCAGTGTGGTGGAATTGGGTACAATGGTGTCACCAACTGCGTGAACGGCTATGCCTGCACATCCTATAACCCTTATTACTTCCAGTGCGTGCCAGGAACATCCACGACGGTTCCCAAGACCTCATCTACACATCCCGCGACGGCCACCACGACATCCAGGATCACGACTAGCAGCTCGAAGGTCACAACCACATCCACCGCCGTGACTAGCCCGCCCACCAAGTCAACTAGCAGTGTTTCCTCAACTAGGACGACGGCCACGTCCGCCCCAGTAGCCACCGGCTTCGCGAAAACTAACGGCCTCCTCTTCAATATTGATGGCGTGACCAAGTACTGGGCGGGCACCAACTGCTACTGGTGTGGCTTCCTTACCGCCAACGGTGACGTCGACCACGTCTTCGCCGACATGGCCGCTGCAGGTTTGAAGATTGTCCGTGTATGGGGCTTCAACGACGTCAAGTGAGCGGGTCACACCCCCTAAACGTCAAACACGAGATGGCTAACCACGAGAAAAGTACCATTCCGTCCGACAGCACCGTCTGGTATCAGTATCTCTCTGCCAGTGGATCCCAGATCAACACGGGTGCCAATGGCCTCCAGAGGATGGACTACGTTGTCTCCTCAGCCCAAGCCCATGGGCTCAAGCTGATCATCAACTTCTTCAATAATGTAGGGTCTCCATACAATGCACATCATTTGGATCTCCATGCCATCTAACAGCGAAGCTCAGTGGAACGACTATGGTGGCAAGAATGCGTATGTCAATGCTTTTGGCGGTAATGGCTCGACATGGTATACGAATACCGCTGCTCAGACACAGTATAAGACGTATATCAAGGCGGTTGTTGATCGGTACAAGACGTCACCCGCCGTGTTCGCCTGGGAGCTGGGCAACGAGCCCAGATGTGATGGGTGCGATACGTAAGCTGGCCCGTCACACTTGCCGTTAGGCGAAAATACCCTGCTGACGCTGATACAGATCTGTTATCTACAACTGGGCTGCCTCCACATCGGCCTACATTAAGTCCCTAGACTCGAACCACATGGTGACCATTGGCGACGAGGGCTTCGGTCCTGACAGTGCTGGTGACGGAAGCTATCCTTACCAAGCTGGCGCAGGAGGCTATGTCTGGACTGATACCCTGAACATTACCACCATCGATTTTGGGACCTTCCACTTATATCCCGACAGTTGGGGCCAGCCATACGACTGGGGCAACCTCTGGGTCAAGACCCACGCCGCCCGATGTGTTGCGGCGAACAAGCCATGTCTCTTTGAAGAATGTGAGTCCTTCTCAAGATGTCCACCGTCACTGGTTACGCAACCGGACACTGACTGATCGAAAATCAGATGGAGGAACGAATAACTGCACCATCGAGAACCCCTGGCAGAAGACAGCATTGGCGTCTACGGGCATCGCGGCTGATCTATTCTGGCAATACGGTGATACATTGCCTAGCTGCAGCTGCCAGACCTCGCAGGACGGAAATACGGTGTTCTACGAGCAGGGTAACTGGGACTGCATGGTGACCGACCACGTGTCTGCTATTGAGGCCAAATATGCCTAGACTGACTACCCTAGGTTATTTGGGTTGAGCTCATGTCGTGGGAATTCATCCTCAAGCTCGGTGTGTCTTGGGCAAGATGTTGTTTGCCTCCAGCTCTCCAAAGACATCCGACAGCGACTTCCATGTGTCATAGTATCTGTCACTCATGTTAGCCATGTGGTACCGCCATCACGAGTCCAACTCGGAAGACTTACCCTGTCCAACCATATTCTCTTGCTTTGCTCATGCTCTGCACAATGTCGTAGCTCCTTCCCAGGACAAAGTCCAAAAAGGCCCATGTGGCCTTCTCAAAGGCGTCCTTCTGCAACCCCTCGCGCTCTGCCAACCTGTTCCAGGCCTGCTTCACCTCCTCGTCTTGGCTCCACTTGACCAGACTGATCCGATTGGCGACCTCACTGGGCTTCACCACACCCTTGACACCAAGCTCCTCGGCCCTTATGCCCAGTGGCGGGTTGTCCGTCAACTTGTTCTTCTGCGACAGCTCGTGCTCCGGGACGGTGAACTGGTCCGCCTTCACCTTCATGCCGAAGCGCGCAGCAACACGAGGCCACATGTTCTCCCACGTCTCAGGCTCGCCGTTATGCACATTGAATGCCTGGTTGGCACACTTCTCCTCCAGGATCGCCCACTCGCAGAATGCAGCATGGAGGACGCTATATGTGTACGTGTCAAACTTCTTGTAAAACACCTCATTGCCCGGGAATGCCAGATCCTGACCCAGCTCCTTGGTCACTACAGCATAGAGCGCCACCGAGGTAGCCAGGTTCATGAAGTTACCCTTGGCGAAGCCGATGACGTCGTTCGGGTACGTGACGACCCATGAGACGTGCGAGTGCTTCTCACAGAACTTGTGCAGACTCTTCTGCTGACGGTAGTAGAAGTTTGGCGGCCAGGGTTCACCCTCCACCCACGGGTCGGACTCCACCATGGGTACTTTGACCTCGCCGAGATGCAGACCATACTGCTTCGCGCCCGTCACGAGGAGGACTCGTTTCAGTTTCTTGACGACACCCGTGATCTCTAGGGCGGAGAGGAAGTTCTCGATCATGGCTCCTTCAGGGATGGTCTGATGTCAGCCGTGAACCATGGGTAGATGCCGGGCTGTGACAAAACGTAGGTCAGGGAGGATCCAGAATGGGGACAGTTCTTACCGTTGACTTCCCAGTTTTCCTGTTCGGTGTTCTTTTGTAGGTAGGCTGCAAAGAAGACGTACTCCGCTTCCACACCCTTCAGCTGCTTGGCCATGTCCTCGGCTGAGCTGGTCAGGTCGAGGTGGTCATGGACGGCATTGCTGGGAAGCTCGTCCTTCTTGCTGCGGGAGAGGGCGTGAACCTTGGTCCATCTCTGAGGGTCTTTGCCAAGCTGTTTGACGATTTCGCGGCCGAGGATGCCTAGAGCAGGAGTTAGATTGTGGTCCAAAGACGTATACATGTCAGCTTAAGGGGTAGGGTAGTTCACCGGCTTACCGGTAGCTCCAGTCACAATTGCTGATGGCATTTTGTCGAGTGAAATCTGCGGGATGATGAGTCTTACGTTATGCGTTTATTTAGTGTAAAGTCGAACAGTTGACTTGATTTTTTTTTTTGCTTTATATTGCTGAAGATATGCTAGAGTGTCATTGAGAGGTTGCCGTTGTTCCGTCCTTTCTGACGTCACGATGATATTATAATTGTCTGCGTGTCCGATCAGTTACCCTACACAACGGCCTGTATCCAGGCGACATCACAACATCACGGAAAACAAATGCTGGGGATTATATCGCGCTTGTTGCCATTTTCATCCCCAAGTCTCGGTGTGTCTCTCTAAAACTAACGTCTTGCTTGAGCTACGGGTAACGTTGTTCGGCACTCTGAGGTCTTCGGTGTTAAAGAGTCCCAATTGGGCAACTTTTGATCACGACGTTGTTGCGTACCAAGGTCAGGATCCTACAAATCTCATGCTTCACCAACACTGGCGTGTGAGCTCACGTTAGAATACACAAGACAACCGGTGAAATCACTATAGGCGATGATAATGCATGGCTAATAATATTACGTGTACGTCTCCCGGCAACGCATCCGACAGGCCTCGAACCCCCGACCAGTCTCATCACGTTGCTCACAAGTTGCGTTTCCTCGTCCTGTGACAGTCCGTCTATGCTGACCGGTGAACGCTCACCCATGGTGGCGATAGGGGCAGTGTCTTCACCTTCAGTATGTAGCCTCACCGGTCAACAAGAGTACCGGTTTCACGAAGAACATAAATAAGCTCATGCCCACACCTTGGCCACTCGCACCGACAATCAACTCCAGTTGTTCCCCCTAGTAAAATATTCACAATGAAGTCCATCTTCCAACTCTCCGCTCTAGTCAGCACAGTCTCAGCAACCGGCATCCTCCTGCCTCTCTACATCTATCCATCCCTCAACTTCAGAGACAACGCCTCCTTCTGGCAGCCTGGCTTCGCCGCGATCGAGGCCAACCCCGGAGTGTCCTGGCAGGTTGTCATTGACCCCAATGACGGTCCCGGTAACTCCGGTCTCCCA